GCTAGGAAAACTATTGAGCTCTAGTTGACTCAAATATGAGTCAGCCAAAAGCCTCTCCAAGTACAAGTACTCCTGACTTTGGATTGTAGACGAAGCGTTTCACCAACCCGCCGGGGGGGGGGGGGGGTACAGTTCTGCTGGCGGTAAAAGCTGAGGAGGTTTGACAAAGCAAGCCGAAAACTTTTTAATTTATGATACCTGAGAGAAGTGAGAAATGGACATTTATCCATCGATCCAGTAGTCGGGGGCCAAGTGTGCAGTATTGTTACTGTACCAGTTAAACTGAAGTAACATCCTTTCATTAATTGGAGCAAAGGTGGGAGAACCATTCCGAAATGTGAAAAAAATAATAAAAAATAGAGAGCGACTGATACTTGTATCATACATAGAGAGGTTTATTGACGGCAAGAACAATTTTGTTCAGAGTTAGAGCCTAAATCTACTACACCACACCCTAATCACGTGATCTGATAAGGTCCTCCTAGATTGTGAATAGGTTAGATGAGTGGTTAATGAAAAAATTGATTTCTCTTCTTTTTCCCTCCAGTGTGCGATCCGGCTTGGTGTTTAAAACAGGATATCGGAACACAGAATTCCTCTTCAGACTCATTATACATAACAGCGGTGGGGGTAATGTTCGGTCTGGGGGTTGAGTGACCAAAGGTCACTCGTGGAACCGTTTTTAGTTTTTTTTTTTTTACTTTTGTCAGTTGCCTTTGTTTGATTTTCTTCCGAGTCACAATGGCCACCAATGTTGGTTTGTCGGGCGGAATAGGTGTCCAATTTCCCGTAGTTAGCATTCCTGATGAGTGGATTACCGAAAATCACTTGCAGTGTTTGATTTCGACAGGTGAATAGGTTCCCGGATGGAAGGGTCGTGCAGAGGGGGGGGTTTTTTTTTTCAAAAAAACAAAAAAAAACAGAGGGAGAGTAGAGAGGGAAAAACAACTGGACCCTTAGATAGTCAATAAGATCACGGAAAATTCAAGGGCTGAGTTCGGTGTATCGAGATTTGTGTTGCCCCTATCAACCATATAGGTTTGTTATCATGTTATGCTGGTGAGCATCTAACTTGTGCTGGGGTGAACGAGACAAGAAAGGCTTCAAATTTGTAGTCGGAAGCCCTGACCCCAGGCTCTTCTTGCCTTGAAAACTTTAAGGCTACCAGGCTCGCAGGGTGGGAACCTGTGTGGGGCGTTTGTAACATGTAGTTTGGATAGGAGTGCTCTCTTAAGGAACGTGTATATATTGATTTCTGTCACTGCCGTTCCGTTATGGTATCAATATGGGGCGTTTTATGAATTGGTTCTAGATTTCATTGGAGGATCGGCAGTCGGGGAACATCGAGTGAGCGACTATGATGGGAGTCTGGGTGAGTGTAGAGGGAGAGCCTGAGACCTGGGTTAACTTAGAGGCTATTTGGGAGGGGTATTTATGGGATCGGGTCTAAATATTTGCATGGTCGGTATTTACCGCGGCCTTATGAAACCCCTGAGATGCTATGCTGCTGATTCTGTATGTGGGTGTCTAGCACTGAGAGGCTAGTTTCCCGAATTTGTTCTGAGAAATGACTTGGTCAATAGATAGATGGCTTCCATGGGCAGCTACCAGACCGCTAGTTTGAGGAATAACCCCTCGAATAAGGAAAGAATCACTTAGTTCATGTGCTCTGTAGATGTACTTGAAAGGAAAGGCTCTCACACTCGTCCAACAGAGGTAATCTCTTCTGGTTGGCTGCTCTGTTTAGCATGTTGGTGTTAAAACAATGATGTTATCATAACCCGGGTAGTGGGGATGCGCAGACAGTCTCTTATCTATATTTTGTCCTGCAATCGACAATGTTATTTTTGGTATCTTCTCAAATCCCCGGCATGGGAAAGATGGTCGAACGTTTGTAATTTCATGGGATAAAACATGTTGAAATAGGTCTATTTCAACAAAGTCGTCGATTAGGTGCTTCCCCTTTCCCTCTCACCGCCTGTCCGGTCTTCTTTTCTTTTCCTTGTGGCTACCGGAGACGAAGAGGCCGCTCGACTACTGTCTACCGCTTGATCACCGCTCCTCGAAGTCATCTTAAGACAGAAGGTTTCTTCGGACAGTGCCTGGTAATAAAAATGTAGATAAAAGCCATCATTCTTGGAGCTTCCCATAGTCCTCTTAGGTCGAATATATCACTGGTACCGGGGTATTCCTCAGGAGTAAAAGGTCACACATTGGAATTCGGATCGCGGGGTGGAGGAAACCCGGGAATTGTGAATCTCCTCAATTGGTTCCTGTACGTCTAGGCTCCGCTGTCGTAGGACAATAGGTATTCGGGAAAGAAAGCAAGAGCCGGAGCCACATGCAAAACCATCGCCAAGCGGTGGAACGAGATCTTTCTCTCATTTCCAAGTTATGGGGAATCTAGGCAGAGGGCGGAGAGGCAGAAAGGTGACTGGAAATAACACGGGTGATGATTAATATTAAATTTAGAAGTAAATTTCTGTAGCGTAGGGGTGTTTCCTTGTTCCCGCCCAGCCCATTCTCTCCGGGAGCCATGTGTGATGAGGTTGGAGTGAGAATGCGCTTCTTAGTAAAGGAACAAGGCTACAGTAACTTGCCGGGAAATTTTTGGCCTGCACTAAGTACTATACTATAAGGCTCTTGAAAGTTAGAGGGGGGGTGGGCTAATATGATACACTAGGGTCGGTAGATGGCCACAATGGGAATGGGTAATAAATACAAGAAAAAGACGGAGTAGCTGGAGGAGATGGACCGAGTGTGAAGGCCAGTGGTGGGGTAGTATAATAACCCAAGTCAGAGGGTTCACCAGATGCCGAGCTTTTGTTGTCAATGTTAAGATCTCACAAGGTCCTTCTAGAAACACTTTGAGATGACCGGGAGGGCTCAGCTGGGGAACGGGGCCTAGATTTTCCAGGAGATACATTATAGCTATTCTATGTCGCTTCGCGGAGGCCCGGGTAAGTGATCTTCAGCCGGTGGGGTTCGTTATATCCTAGGTAATGTTGAGCGGGCACATGGTGGTGAGGTGGACGGTACTTTGTTGTATTTCACACTGTGATCTGGCTATCTAGATGCATAAGCAAGTACAGTGTGCGATCTCATATCCTCAGAGCCTTAGGTCTACATACTCTCAACACTACTGTCATATCATACATCACTACAAAACAGCCAGGGCTGTTGCCCGGATCCACACAACAATACATAACACGCAACTCCACGCTATTCCGGGTAATTTCCACTACCATGGCGGGCTCATGTTTCGCACCTCGAGGAGGTATTCCGCGCCTTTCTCAGCGGTGTTGGGGGGCATCTTTGCCTAAGAGCCCTTCTGCTACACCCCTATGCTTAACTTCAGCATCAAAGGAAAGAAGCGATCGGTTCTCTTAACCCACGGTGTCGGGAGCGACACCTTACCGCTCTAAAACCATTAAATGGCAATTCAACAAAAGAAAGCAAAAGCTGGAAGTGTGTACAATGAAGAAGGCATCTCTCGGTCGTACTGCAGATATCCTTCTTCTGAACTCTGCCCTGAAGATTAG